AAATTGCTTCACTTTTTTTTTTTAAGATTTTATTTTTTTCCTTTCCTCCCCAAAGCCCCCCAGTACATAGTTGTATATTCTTCGTTGTGGGTCCTTCTAGTTGTGGCATGTGGGACGCTGCCTCAGCGTGGTCTGACGAGCAGTGCCATGTCCGCGCCCAGGATTCGAACCAACGAAACACTGGGCCGCCTGCTGCGGAGTGCGCGAACTTAACCACTCGGCCACGGGGCCAGCCCCCTTCACTTTTTTCCTTTTCATTTTTTAATTGAAATTTTTAGATAATTGTAGATTATCTAAATAAGAAATAATCAGAAAGATCCCATGTATCCTTAACCCAGTTTCCCCCAGTGATAACATCTTGCAAAACTATAATATAATATCGCAACCAGGATATTGGCATTCATACAATGCACTGATTTTATTCAGATGTCCCCAGTTTTACTCGTGCTTGTGTGTGTGTGTTTGGTTCTATACAATTTTATCTTATCACATGTGTAGGTTCACGTATCCACCATCGTAGTCAAGATAAAGAACAGTTCCGTCACCACAAGGATTCCTCATGTTGCCCTTTTATAACTACGCCCATCTCCCTTCGCCATCCCAACACTAACCTCTGCTCTGTTCTTCATTTCTAAAATTTTGTCGTTTCAAAGATGTTATATAAATGAAATCTGTAACCTGTTTGGAGTGGCTTTAATCAGTTGCATAACTCCCAGTAGATTCACCCAAGTGGTTGTGTGTATCAATAGTTTGTGCTTTTGGGGCTGGCCTATGGCCAAGTGGTTAAAATTCCGTGCTCTCCACTTTGGGGGCCCAGGTTCTTAGGTTCAGATGCCAGCGCGGACTGACTCCACTCATCAGCCATGCTGTGGAAGCATCCCACATGAGGGAAATGGAGGAAGATTGGCACAGATGTTAGCTCAGGGCTAATCTTCCTCAAGCAAAGTAAAGAGGAAGATGGGCAATGAATGTTAGCTCAGGACAAATCGACCTCACCAAAAAAATAAATAAGTAAATAGTTTGCACTTTTTATTGCTGGATAGTGTGGAATGGATGTACCGCAGTTTGTTTAACCATGACCTGTTGAGGGACATCTGAACTATTTCAAGTTTTTGGCTATTCTGAATAAAACTACTATGAACAGGTTTTCATTTGTCTGGGATAAATGCCCAGGAGTGTAATTGGCGGGTTATATGGTAATTATGTGTTTAGGTTTATAAGAAACTGCCATATGGTTTTCCAGAGAGACTGGGCCATTTTATATCATTTTATATCCAAGCAACAATGTATGAGTGATCGAGTTTCTCTGTATCTTCACCAACATTTAATGGTGTCACTATTTGTTATTTCAGCCATTCTGATAGATGTGTAGAGATATCTCATTGTTTTAATTTGCATTTCCCTGATGGCTAATGATACTGAACGTCTTTTTCATATGCTTATTTGCCATTTGTATATCATCTTTGATGATATTTTGCATTTTTATTCCTCCTTTAACTTCTTTTCAGACTTTGGGGTGGGGGTGGAGTTGCTGGTAAATTCCTATGAAGTTTGTTGTGTACATAGACGGGAGGAAACACGTCTACTACAGAAATAAAAATATTGCTTCCTGAGGTTCTCAGCTCTGTGTTAGAGTCTCTGGGAACAGAAAGATGAAGAAGACAAGAACCTCAGTCTTGAGTTCTAAAGCCATCTTGCTCTTTTACCTAGAAAGGGAAGCAGAAAATATGCAGAAGTCTGAGATTTCCAAGTTGTGTGATTTCGAAGGATGATGTTCACGTGGGCATCAAGAAGGTGACCGTGATGGGAAGATCCCAGTAGACACAGGCCAAGGATTTGATTCATCAAATATGAGTTAAGGATGCAAAAATGTCTTTGCCCGGATTTGGCTACCCAGGGCAAGGGGCTGGGTGACACAGCAGCACTCCCAGTTGGAGGACGAGCCCTCCTGGCCCTTACGTCCCACAAAGGCAGTCACTTGCCCATGAGCACAGTGATTAGAGTGGGGCTTCTCACAGGCTCTTCGAAAAGCTTGCTCTGCCCCCTGTCTCTTATTCCTTGCGCCTTCGAACTGTTCTAGAGAATCTGGATCTATGCCCAATTGATCACTAGTTGCAGTACCTGGTGTCAACCCTAGAACATTCCTGAGTGCTTAATTTTAGTTTGAGTGAAGGACATTCTTTCCAGGAATTTTATCCTCCCTACCAGGACTGGGTCTCAGGTAGTCTTTTCCTGCAGAAATTAACGACCCAATTCAGTGTTCACTTAAGAATTGGGTGGACAGTGACTGTCTGAGAAGAGACATAATAGCTGAATAGTGAACAACAGAATAAACCCACACTCACACACACACACACACACACACAAATCTAATTCATGGTACAGGTGGAATTAAAAATCAATGGGAAAAAGATGGACTATTAGAAATCTGGGGAAAATTGCTATCTCACACCATACACAAAAACAAAATTCAAATGGATTAATGATCTTAATGTAAATTTAAAAGCATACATGTATGTCTCTGAGTCTGTGTGTGTATGAGTCTGTATGTGAGGATTAAAAAAGTTTAACATGTTTATAATTTTTAAGGGTAAGATGGGACAAAGCAGGAGGCCTTCTAACGAGGACCTGTGACTCAGAAGCTGCAGAAAGAAAATGCACAGATTGGGAAAAAAATCTTTAGGATAAAAGGTATTAGAAACAAAGTTAAAAGAAAACTGAGTAAAGATGTCATATATATATACACATACATATAGATGCCACACATATCCTTGCATACCTTTGTTTTTCTGTGGTGCAGATATATATGTCTATCTATATGTACACAATTATATATATATACACAACCGTAAGTTATTTCTAATGTACAAAGAGTTTATATAATTCAATAAGAGAAATGCAAACTAAATGTCAGAAAAATAAACAAAGGATAAGAAGCAGCAAATCACAGAAGAATGCAAATTACCCATAAATACATGAATAGATGTGCACTTTCACTAGTAATCAAGAAACTAGAAATTAAAACAAAAAATTGACATTTAAAAATTCATCAAGTAGGTAAAAATAAAAACAAATAATACTCACTATTTATGGGATATGGAAAAGGGCATTCTTATATATTTTTTCTGGGAATATAAATTGGTACAGCCTTTTTCTGAGGACAGATTGGCAGTATCGAAATTTAAAATGCACATACCCTTTCATGCAGTAATACCATCTTTAGGAATCTGCACCATAGAAAAATAGAGGTGTACAAGGGTATATGTGCTAAAATATTCATTGCAGGATTAGTTGTAGCGGCAGATAATTATAATCAACCTAAAATATCTAGCAATGTGGAATTTTTTTTTTAAAAAACACTGTGGCATAGTCATACAATGGAATACACTGAAGCCATTAAAAGAAGAAGCAAGATCTATAGTACTGAGGTGGCAGCACGTGGTAGGATGATTGTGAGTGAGAAAATCGAAGGAATATATGTATATATAGCAAGATTTAATGGGGAGGTGGGATGGATGTATGTCTGTGTGTGTGTGTTTGTAGGCTAAAAAATTAAAAAGTCTAGAAAAGTACACATTGACCTGTTAAAAATGGTTACAAGTCTGAGGTATAGAAGTGCTGGGATGAGGGGAATGTCACATTTTATTTTATGTACTTGTGCAGTGTTTGCAATTATTTTTTATCACAAAGATATAATCTTTGACCCCAAGAATGAATTTGATCAAAAGAATTGCTTTGAAAGAAGATATAGATATCTTTGCCTAATGAAAATTTAAATAAACAAACAGAAAAACCTCTTTCTTGTTACTGTATTAATTTGCAATATCTGGAATATTTATTTCAGTGATCTCTCTCTGGTTACTTAATTCCTTGTGTTTAATTGATAGTGTGTACTGGAGTTTAGTGAAAAACTCTTTTGTAAATCTCTCCAGCTGTGATTTATTTAGTGTAATATCTCCCCAATGAACCGCCTGTGAGTGGGGAATTAGTAAAGCAGATACAGATCTGGAGAGTAGTCTGTGGCTTTACTTATCTCCGCAGGAAAGCTTATTTCATATTGATAAAGTTTGAAATCTTTCCTGTAGCTCTTCCCGATTGTTCATTGTTGTTACTGTTTTAATGAGAGGTAGAAATGAGCCAAACCAACCTGCTTCTTTCCTTCTACTAAATTAATTTCAAAGGAAATTCTTCAACGCAAGTAAGTGAATGTGGATGGAACCAGGTTCTGTCTCAACACGTCCCTTTAATTGCTTCTAAACATTAAGATACATTCTTAAGAAACCCCCACACATAATAAAAAATCAACCAATAAAGAATGATGAGGTGAGAAGCAAGCTGGCTATAACCATCTTTGCTTACAAAACCCTGTTTAAGTTGACATTAATAATTGCCTTCTACTCTAAGTCAAGATTTATTGTAGAAATATACCAAAGATAACACAATAATAAAGAAAATGGATGCATCTCAGGTTTTGAATGTACCTAACAAACTCGACCTCTTGCAAAATAACTTTCTTATTCAAAATGGAACTGGGAACTGTTAGGCACACAATGAATCATCTTTTGGCAAGTACAATAGAATCTTTAGGGACAATTTCACAGCCTCTTGTTCAATTGTAGGGATGTTTTTAGCTTTCACAGGTAGGCAGGAAGGTAGCTTGCGTAGCCATCATCTTGTGCTAAAATTGTACAGTAAAGATTTTTCAGAGTTGCTCTTGCAATAGATCTTTCTGCTTTTTTTTCTTCCTGTTTCTTTACCCAGAGCTGCTTTGTCTCTCAAAAACAATCTGGAATTACTTAATGCTAATGTTTTCTGGTTTTACTATTTACCCAGGACTCAAATGTTAAACATGACTGTGGGAACTCCCTTTCCTGACCTCATAGCCCTATATTTATTTAACTGTTATTTTGCAAGAAGGAAACTTCATCTTTCCCTGTCTATGTCAGTGTACTTTTTTTTATTGACAAACACGTTGTGTTTTTGTTTCTGCTTTTTTTCAGGAGGCTTTAGAGCTACCCTTGGATGATTTTGAAGTGACTGAGAGCACAGCGACCAACGAGGTGATTAAATATGAGTATCACGTCCTGTATTCCTGCAGCTACCAAGTGCCCGTGCTTTACTTTAGGGCAAGCTTTTTAGGTAAGACCATGTCAGAAGCTACATGTAAATTCCTAGCATTTGCGTGTAAGGCAGAAAGCAGATTTGGAAAATTATTCTTGAGAGGGGAAAAAAAAAGAGTTAAAAATAAGAAAACTGTGGGTGAGGTAAAGTTTTACCAGTAAATTTTCTCATGCTTTAGGAAGAATATCAAGACTTCAGAGTGAATGATATCATCCCAGACTTCAGTCTGATCTTCAGATTCTTGGCCTCCTGCCCAAGGTTGACTAAGCCCCCTGGCTCTTTTTCTTTTCTTTACTTTAAACAAGTTGGAACAACTTAAAGCTACACTGTTTATTTACTTCTAACTTTACAGTAAAAATTTCTTTCAATCTCAAGCGATCCCATTAACTCAGAAGCCCCCATGCTTCCTTCCCCAAACGCTAATTATTATTTCAAGAACCATTTATCAATTAGTTTAAGCTATACTTAAAAATAGCAGTAACGTTTCCTCTCGCCATCTATACGTCTCTAATCCTTAGCTTCCTGAGATGCTGTTACTCAACCCCGTCCCCTTGCCAAGAAGGTGGAACACCCTGTTTCCTTGGAAGCCTTGGCTAATAAAGCTTATTTCATCAGCAGCCACATGGAGTCCTCACCCCGCAGCCCAGCCCTGACTGCCCCCTTCATGTCCTCCAGCTAAACGACTCTGGGCCCAGGGACCCGAGCAGCCGACTCCCCAGCACCCACCTACCCCATTTCTCTCTGGCCTTCTCAGCAGCATTTTGCATTCTGAACAGCCTTCTAACTTTGTCTGGATAGCTAAGACATCTGAATTTAGGCAGTGATATTTTATTTTTAATTAAAAAGTAGCTTAAGCTGCTTTGAATGTGTATTTGGTAGATTTAATCACTTGCTGCCTTATATTGTTTAATGGTCTCTAATTTTGCCGTGTTGGCGGTTTAGCAAGCACTTAGGATTTAAAACACAAGAACAAATTCTCATAGACTCCCTGGTGAGAAGATTTTAATCTGAGGTGCATTTCCTAAGAACTGACAGTTTGGGGTAAATTTTCAGCATGGGACATGGGGAATTGAGGACACTGATAGCTTACTACTTCACCAACTCTTGCTGCAGATTTATCCGCGTGGTTATTACAGGCCTCTCCAACACTCACTTTATTGTAATTCTGTTTGGTTTGGAGCCCAGAGGTTAAAGGAAGCTTCTTGGCAGTGAACTGGGTTACACTAAAAAGTAGAAGGAGATACGTTTATTTACCAGACGGAGAGGGAAAATGTCTCTCTTGATTTGCATTGTGATGGCTCTACTTTGTACCTTCTCGATTCAAAGACATGTTGAGGCTGTAGGTAGAGGAAATAGGACACTACTTCTTCAATACGGTGCTTTCATATAATTAGTATTCACCATAAGCAGTTAATCACTAGAGAAGAGCTCCCAGAGACAAAACAAGTTGTTTAGCTTGTCAGCATTAGGGAATCGGAGGTGTTGAAACATGACTGCTTCGAGCTGGAAGTGGGTCTTGCCGAGGCCAGTGGCTGCGAGCAGACGGGTGCTTGGCTGTTACGTGCCCACAGCTCCCCTTACAGTACAACACAGTAACTGTTCCTGCAAGTCCAATTATATTTTAATGAAATTGGTATACTTCCTAAGATCTTTTCTTCATGATGGTTCTCTATTTCTTGAAAAAAACCCCTAGCATTCTTGGATTCTATTTATATACTTTTAAGATGCTCTTCATTAATGTTTAATAAAGGAAAACCAAAACAAGTCACTTATTTTATGTGGAAGTATTCCTTGTTCTCCCCCTCTCCATTCTGTGTTGCATAGAATGAGTATTCGGAATTTTTAAATTCCAGAATTCTTTTAGAGCTTATTCAGGTACTTTAAAATATCAAATTTAAGTTTTGCAGAGCACACTGAATGGTTTCTTGTGGAGAAACATGAAAAATGGTTCTTGCCTTTATCACAGTCTCATAATTTCTTTTCTCTTTTCTACCTAACTTAACCTAATGAGTGTTCTAAAAATGTATTGCCCTTTACTCTGGAGTCATAATTTTTCATTTATTCCCCTCAATTCGTCCCCTTTTCCTGTGATGTCTGATTACTCGGCTCTTTCATCTGTTTGTTAAACAAACCTCTGTCAGTGTGGTGCATGGATTCCTAAGGTCTTCCTCTTATTCCAGGTCCAGATTTTTCTTTGTCTCATTCTAAGAGAGTTCCGACCTAGAAAGAGGATGACTATAAAATTTCTCGCCCAGGGGTCTTTTTTTGTTGCTTCAAAAATAGTTCACTTAGCCTTGTTTTCGACAGATATTTAGAATTTCTTTTGCATTTGATTGTTAGTAAAAATTATTTTCTTTGGTGGTCTGAATTTTCTTTCTGTACCTCTTTTTTTAGGAAAAGCAAGTAGTTCCCATTTAAATTGCCTTTACCTTTTCTTTTATCAACTGGCTTAGATTCCAGAAGAAATCTTTATTCTGTTTCTTGAAACGCAAATCTGTTCGCCTGTGATTTCCTCTTATTCCTCTGTATTGTCTAGTGTCTACCAGGCCAACTGCCACCTAAGGCTCAGCTAATATACCACTTGCTCTTGTCACTCCCACATCACGTCACGTCACATCACATCACATCGCATCATATATTGTATCACAAGTTGCACTATAATAGAATTATTATTTGTTTACGTGTCCCCTATAAAATAGTAAGCTAGAATGTAGGGCTTTCAGGTAAAAAGAGGGAGGAAGGAAATTAATATTGAGTACCTACAACCTACAAAGTGATGAGCTTTATTCATGGCTCTGTGTGTGTGAGTAATAGTTATATGACATATATATTATTTGTCTTACTCATTTTGATACCCACAGAATTGACTGTGGCACAGCATCAACAAGTATTTATTGAATGAACCAGTAATGAGGAATTTCTAACCATTTCTGCTTACAGCCCAAAGATGGAAAATTGTGATAGTGCCTTATTTGAACTGCTCTGATAAGTTATAAGGAAGAGAGTACTGCTGTTGTCTCCAGGAGACTCAGGACTCAAACCATCTATCTATCTTTACTCTGTAGTCTGATACTTCTCAGAGACCACAGGAGTAGTTGGCTAAGGAGAATGGAAAGTCCCAAGGACTCGAGGGTGGGCGTCCAAATGAGCTGAGCAGCAGCCCCACTTCTATAAGCACGTGTTTTTATTTGATCCTCGAAGGCCAACAGCCATACTGAGACAGCATTCTGCTTCTGGGTGCCTCATCTCTACTAGCTGGACCTAAAGGAGCCCAGCTCCCTGTGGGGTAACATAGATTTAAGAGAAGAAATAACTCATTCTCAGTGTTCTTTTTTCCCCTAACTACTACTTTTTTTCCTTTTGGGACAGGTGGTGGGACACGTTAATACCATTTGCTGCCCAGCAGTGGCTGAGAGGTAATTGCACCTCTGTCAAGTAGTAATAAACAGCCTATATTCAAATAGTGCTTTGTAGTTTATGAAGTCCATTCTCACAAAGCATTGACATCTTTGAGTGCCCACTGTCTTTTCCCCCCATTGTTGCTAAACATACTGTGTTAAAGAATTATTTTTATACCAGAGGCTTCTATCTACTCCCCAACAGATCATTCCAGCAGCTTTTTTATGTCCCATCTTCCCTTTTAGGGGCTTAGCATTTGTCACAAGCCGATGGCAAATGTTAGACAAGACCTTAGCCAGAAACCTCAGGCATATACATAATGGCATTTTGCTTCACCAGAGTCCTAAGCTTCCTTAGTTCTCCCTTTCATTACAACTAGAGATTTCTATATTTATTTCAGCTTGACTCCTGATTTATTTCTTCTCTGTCTCTTCTCTTTTTCTTTGTTCTCCGTCTCTATGGAAAAGAAGATCAAGTGGTTCTTCTCATTTTCAAAATATTTAATTATTTGGCTGACATATGGGTTCTTTTGGGGAACCATTTTGACATATTTCTTTAATTAGTCAGAAGGGCTGCTTTTGAATAGGGGAAGAGACATTTCTTTTGTTCAGCAACTGAATGTTTGATTATTCTGGAGATCCATTCTGTTATCGGCTAAGGGAGTAGGGGTATAGAATTAAAAATGTAACCCAGCTATTTCATGCGGAAGATTTGTCCACTTGTTGCACACCTGAAGGATGCTTTTGGAGAAATGGGGTGAAAGAAATAGCCAAAGAATCATTCCTTCTCAAATGCAGCATGAGCCAAACCAAAATAAAGTCCAGCCTAAAGGAAGAATAATAGAAAGTTTGGAATGAGAGCGTTATATAAATCCTCAAGGAGGAGGAAGAAGCTGGTCCATGGTCTGGAGCAGGAATCTTGGAGCGCACAGAAGAGGAAGACAGTAAAGCAGGAAAGATTGAGTTGGAGGAAGTTGGAGAATAAAAGTGAAGTTCCTCTGCTCTGCCCAGCAACTTGCTGGAAGTAACAGGCTGGCTTTTCTGAAGAGGCTGGAGAGCACTGGAGAAGGGGAGAAGGGTGCGTGCAGGGCTGGAGAGAGCATGGCATACCTGGGGAAGAGTGAGAGGCCAGTTTGGAGCCGGAGTTTCCTTAAGATGAATTGTGGAAGAAATGGTTGCAATGATATGTTGAGGTCAAGTTGTGGAAGAGAAATGGATGGGAAGGGGCTGGAGGATATAAAGGAAAAGTCAAACAGATTGGGCAGAAGTGAATGGAACCAATGGAGGGATTTCCTAGAGCAAAAATTATGACTGAGCAAAACAGAAAGAGGGATAAATGAAGGGTGAGAAGAAATTATGAAGAATGAAATTTTAGGGAGAGGAATTTGGCTTGTTTCTTGAATTGTTAGAATTATTAAAAATGTTTTTATAATAACCTCTTAGAGAAAATGAGCTGGAAAGAACATATTTTCGGGGGAAAATTACCACGGCCAGTACAGTGAGAGTTAAGACAGCTTGCTGAAAAGGAAAAATCTCTGGATTAGAGAGGTACTTAAGGACTGAGGCAAAAATGATTCTATTTAATTATTACAATGAGAAGAAAATAGAAAATGATTTGAC